TTCTAAAAGGCTACAACAACCAAAAAGCTGATCTTTTATCTATGCTTTTGTCACAGTGGTGATAAGTTGGCCAAAACCCTTCATCTTTAGGCCTTCTTCACTCTAAGGACGTGGTTTTCTCTCACTCTGTCTTTTGTGATGGCCCATGTACTCCTGGCTCGCTCTGCTCCACCAGGATCTCTCCCCTTCCCCTCACCTATGATGCAGCTTCTGTCTTTACAGCTTCTCCCCATATCGCTCATACCAAATCCCACTGTGTTCTCAGCCAAAGGTTTCTATACCCCCTGCGTAATCTGCTCCTCCTCCTTCACTCCCAAGGATCTACAATCCTCCCCCTAGTGTCTCTCATCCTTCCCCTAGCATTTCTCACCAGGCTCTGACTTCTCAATACCCCTGCTCTAGCCGTCTGTCCCGTCTGAGGGTTCTTTTTCTCCTTCCCCTGCATTGCCATTTTCTCTGCCTGCCCACCATACTCAGTCTCAGGCATTGCAGCCTTTTGGCAGGCCACATGGATGCCAGCAGCCATGTTGATTACACACATGCACCTGCTGGGCTCATCTCTACTGCTGCTTTGGGAACAGGCTGGACCTTAAAGATTAACTAATATTTGTGTTCCTTCTTTTTAACTTTCTGAGCTACCTCAGGTTAACCATCAATTAGGTTCCTTTTCTGGTATTCTTATTTCAAGAGATCTCTATTAATTGATCTATAAGAATGTTCACTCTACTCTATTTATTATAGTTCAAGTTGGCCAAATATATTTGAGCACATTCTAATTTTATAAGATGATTGTCAGTTTATATATCTGTTGTCCATTTGTCCAATTGTCTGCTCTGTTAGCAGCTTTTTCTTTTTACTTGAGCTCAACAACTTTTTCCCTCAACATTTATATTTTCAGATCATGTAATAAAGGTTTATTTGGGTAACAGATTTAAAAGACATGCTTCCACCTAAGTTGCCAGCTGGTCAAAATGATGCTAAAATTGGGTAAACAAAATCCCTTGGGGTGAGGCAACATTAAACAGCACTCCAATTGATAAACAAGAAAGTGGCCACCTGGTAACTTTTTTAAAAATTTATTTTAATTTTAAGGAGATTAAAATAAAAGAGGACTTAACGTATGAGATTGGAGCACAACAGTTTAAGCAACACAGTATTACAACACAATACAACCTGACATATCTGTAGCTAACTTAGTGTCTCTTTCCTTGAAGTAGTTGAGTATATCTTCATACACAATAGTATCAAACATAACAAAATATTATAAAATCATTAAAGAGCAAGAAAGTATTACAGATTATTTGGAATGAAATAACACAAAATGAACAATGGTTACTATATTATCTCATTGTCCATAAAATATTTGTTTATACTACCACACATAATACAATCCAATAAGATGCAACAAGATAGAACCAAGGAAACAGAAGAATAAAAGCATGATAGCACTTCAAAACAAAATAATATTAAATCAGCACTAGCTATTATAATGTCTTGTTTTCTTCAAAATTGCTATTCAAATAATCATAGATAATAAAATCAAACAACCCAGGATGAAACCATTCTGAGTAATGAATGGGAATATTATAAGGCTCCAAAGCAATGTAATGGGGGAGCAGGATTACCACACACTCTTATGTACTCTTACCATTTCTCACACTAGGAACACTATATGGTATTTACACATGAACAACCAGGTACTTTAACCAGGTCAGGTTCACTGATGGGAGGTCCAAATAAACTCTTTAGTCCCATGGGAAAAAGTTCAAGTAAAGTTCGTATTACTAAGACAATTCATTGTTGCTGATCTCATGGTATATTCATGCCTTCAAATATAAAATTGTGATTGTTTATGATGACAAATGTTTCCTTTCATATCTAGATGTCTTATGCCTTTTTCTCGTGTTCCAGCCTGGTGATTTAGATCAGGCCAATACAAAGTCAAATAATTTTTAACAAAAATTTATGTAATGTAATAGTGAGCAGTCAAAAATATGTCACAAATTTTTTCAGTGCTCAAATGTTAAAACACCCATGGTTAATAGAAAATAACACTTCCATTTAATGTTCTATATTAAGTTTACTGCTTGTCCTGTACTGTATGGTATTAATCTTCTGGATGTTTAACAGCTACAGTTAAGAGATAATTATAAATTCCCTTTGGATTCCTTGTGCTATTATCCACCAGATATTTTCTAAAAAAAAAAAAGTTTATTTGATGCAGGGGCCAACAGAATAATGAGATCTGGAGTGGGGCTGAGACTGGGGCAGCAGCCAGAACAGAACCAGTCCAAGCCTGTCTGTCAGCACTGGCTCAGCCCTTAGGATAGGGAAACATTTGCTTGATGTTTTGTCTTGAGTCCTAACCCACAATAGGAGGTATCCCTCTCCCCCATGGTTGCAAGGTATCTGGGCTTTTGCATTGGCCATTTCTAGGACCTAGTCCTGTCTCACTGCCTATATATTTCTACCTAACTCAGCTGCCTGTAACAACAGGGCTGGGACTTCAAAGGAGCAAGAGGATAAATTCAGATTGCTTATAGCCTTGGAAGAGAAAATCACCTCCTGCTTTGGGCCAAATCTCAAGACAAATGCCAACAGAAATACAATCAAGTGCTAAGAACCAATTGTCCAAATAGTTCTGTATCACCCTGAAGAAGTCAAGAGTGGCCACCCTAAGCCCCTACAGGAAGAGTCCCTGCTGTTAAGGAATCCCACTTATTATGTGACATGCTCCCCCATTTGTTCCTAATTGAATCACTTTTACCTGAGCAATTATCCCTAATGGTTGAACACAGTTCTATCCCGCCTTATGCTCACCTTGCAAATTTCCAGTGTTCCCCTCTTTTGACCCATCTAACCTCCTGTTTCTACTCAATAAATACAGAGTCTTTGACAACCCACTCAGGACCCCTTCTGTCTCTCAGACAGAAGCTTTATTTCTCGCAATAAATATATTGCATTCTTAAACTCCATCATTCTAAACATTATTCTTCAATTTTAGAGAACACAAACTCATACCAGACATATAGTAGGTCAGGAGTTTCATTCCCCTCTATCATCAACATGAACCAAATTAACATAAATATCTTTATGGTTTGTCTGAATGCTTTTCCCTTTTCATGCAGTTTTAAGTGATCAATTCAACTCACAGTGGTTGTATTTCTGGCAATGTATAAAGCTGTATATATCAGTCATTATAAATGTAAAATAATTGGTTTGAGTGTATAATTTAGCAAGAACTAGATATTGCTATGGGAGTAGGTTATCTCATATAAAAGTGAATGTTCAACTAAAATTGCTCAGAAAAATTTCTACATTACTGGCTGCTTCAACAATTTTAAGATACATGAACTGTGTATTTTTGCCTTTGTGTAGAAGCCTTCTATTATGTTATTGAAAGAAGTCTGTACATCTGTTGGACCCTGTTTATATTTTGATGCTTTTTCTGCATTGAAGTTTATATGAAGATTTATTTTTATCTTAGGCTTAAACTCACTGCATTGACACTGATGGAGTGAAGCAACAGTCTACTACATTAATTTCAATTATATATTCATGGCATTGATCATATGAATTACTGAGGAGATAAATTAGCTACATACATAGACAAGAATCAGTACTGTTAGCATTTTCTGGTGCAATAGAGAAGCAGAAAATAAGAAAAAGTAAAAGTGGCCTTTCTATTTAAGGAATGTGAGGAGGAGCCCAAAAAATCAAGGTTTTTTGTTTTGTTTTGTTTTGTTTTGTTCTTACTATTGGGTTAGGGGTATAAGTGACTTTTGCCTGGATGTGGAGATTGGAGCAGACATTTCTGTCATGTGAGGAGCTGATTGGAATTTTCTTCAAGCCCTTGGGAAAGGAATGAGGAGGTTGTAATCAGGGAAGAAGAGGAAGCGGCCATATGGTTAGCATCCCTGATTGGGCCTTCCACCATGTTGAACTACAAGCAGAAGGTCCTCCCTCAGTTTGAATGATGAAATAAAAATAAAGAAGTTTTGCTATGTGTCTTCCTCCATGACTGGAGGTAACCATTCACAAGAAATATTTTGACTCACATCCTTAATAAATTGTAGATACCATAATCAAAATTACAGATCAGTTCACTTTCAGAAAACAGAAGCAGCACTTAAATGCAGGCATAAAGGCCTTCAGTGAGAGTATCCCTGAAGAAGTGAGATCAGCTTTATAGAACACAAACTACTACTCATTTATCTGAGTTCACTAAAGATAAAAATTTATAATGGTGTTGCTACAAGGGAAAGTAACTCCTGATCTACTATGTCTGGTATGAGTTTGTGCTCTCTAAAAGTAAAGCATAAATTTTAGGAACAACAGAATTTAAGAGTAGAATATGTTTATTGGGAGAAAGAAAGCTGTCTGAGAGAGAGAAGGGGTCCTGAGTGGGTTGCCAAAGACTGTCTTTTCTAGGGACTTCTATTGAGTAAAATAATTTTGGGAGATGGATTTAAGGTGGGAATACTGGGAGCTCACAAGGCAGATATGCATATGATAGGATAGAAATATGGGAGCCAATAAAATTAATAGTTCAGGTAAAAGTGATTAAATTGGGATCAAATGGGGAAGCCTGTCACACAGAAAGTAGGCATTTTTATGCAGTAGTGACTCTTCAATTAAGGGGTTCAGAAGGTGACTCATGACTTCACCAGGATGATAGGAACTATTGAAATATCAGGCTTTAGTTGAATGGTAACTGCTGATTTCCTCAGGGTGCTAGAGAACCATTTCAAATACCAATCCTTACAATATTAATACATTTACTTAATCTTTTGTCCTGAAGTCTGACACTTAGCAGGAAGTGTCAGATACCTATAGTTGAAGGTATCTGGGCTTCTGCATGGGATCCTTGGAGGACCAAGCCCTGTCTCACTGCCAACATTATTTGACTAACTCAGCTCAGCATTGTTTGGAAAATTGAACACAAATGTCTTGCACTTTGGGGGAATGATCTGGGGATGACAGTGTGTAATGTATTTACCATTGTTGTCCCTGATTGACATGTTGTGAAATTTAGTTTGACTTTTTCTTTTTAGCCTTGAAATCAAATGAATTTGGAAATAAAAAACCTGAGGTAAATCTCTTTGGTACAAGCACTCCTCTGTGGATATCAGCACTGAAGAAGACAGCCAGGTCCAGAAGTCTGCACTACAGTCTATCATTTGGGATCCTCTCTTGCAGGGAGGGGTTCCTTTCCCTGTTTATTCTTGACTCAGAAGGAGGGAAGAGGAGCAAGATTCAAGCACAGATGAAGAGGTGGGCTATATGAACTGTCCAACCAGGTGGGCCATGACAGGTGGTCTCTTAAGTCTTTCCTGTATCAGGGCATTATTGACCTGTTGTGAGCACAGTGCTGGAGCAGAATGTTTGCTGGATCTCATTTAGTGGTTTCAATGTCATGTGGCCTGATTAGGAAAGAACCTTGGAGATCTTCAAGCTGCAGAATGCTCAGATTGTGGATGGGAGCCCAGAAATAGGGCAAAAGGCCTAAACCATTTACAAGTGGTTAGAAGCAGTTCCAGTGTCTCGATCTTCAGGTACTTAGTTTGCTTCAGCCCATGAGGTCCTCCAGCATTGGCTGTGGGTCATCCATTGTGCATTTTGCCTCTTTCTGGTGGAAAGAGTGACTCTATCTTCTCTTTGACAGCAGCAGATTCCAGTATCATCTTTGGAATTCTCTGCTGCCCTGGCACCTCCACAAGCTCAGTGAGGGAAGGAGCTTGGGGAAACCCTGACTCTGATGCATTTTGTAGCTGCTGCAAAAGTACTGAGGAAGGTCTCTGCCCTCATTGCTGTGAAAAGCAGACCTGGAGGGTCTGATGTTTATAAATGTCTGTGATACAGGGCCTCATAGCCACAACTTCTGTCCTTAAACTTGTGCTTTGTTGTATTTAGAGTGATCTCCTAAATTTATAGGATGTTCTTGTGTTTCCATCCTATCACAGGTGTTGGCAAAGGTACTGAGTATTCAAAGACGTGTAGTGATGTGCCTCAGTGGAGGAAGGCTTCCCAAATACCTGGTGAACTTTGTATCATACATGACAATGCAAAAGAATTTTGAACATAATTATTTAGGTGACAGCTCTGCTCACAGACTGTTTGTGAGAACAGCCATGTATTTTTGAATTCTGAGAAAAATGAAGCAGATATGAAAGTGTTACCAAAGGCAGGGTAAAGTATGCTTGCAAAGGACAAATTCCTGAATCACCTGCCTGTTAAAGGTTCATTGAAAAATTCCAAAATTTATGCATTTTCATGGACACATGCACATGATAGCCTTCTGAATGGAAAGGAATATGGGTGTCATCACTGAAATAACAGCTGATTTATCAGTTTGGCTGATAATACACATTGTTTATATATAGAAATTCTTTGCAATGGACTTTACTAAGTGGTGTAAAATAGAAGCCCTAAATAGAAGTTGTGCTGCAGGGATATCCATTGTTAGGCATGAAGGGTTTTCTGTGTAGTGTGGATCAGAGCAGCATGGAAAGGATGTGCAAGTGATTGGCATGACACAGGGTGTCAAGAGCAGGATTTACAAATGAGAGGATCTTTACTGAAAATCAAGTAGTTCTTAGGGTAAGCATGAAGTTCAAGTTGGCTTCTGATTTCTTACTTGAGATGAACAATACCAGCTCTGTCAATAATAAGTATTACATACCTGTTAACCCATGATTTCTGTGTTCCATAATTGAGATCTAATTTTGATTTTCTCTAATTATATGCCAGTGTCATGAAGTAGGAATTTGAATCTTTATTTTTTTTTTGTACCAGGGATTGAACTCATTAGCTCATACTTACTAGGCAGGTGTTTATGCCACTGAGATAAATACACAAACATGAATGTGTTTTCTGTATATTAAGGAAAGTATCAACATTCTACATCAGAACATGTTGAAAGTTCTTGGCATGTTACTACATTGTATCGATATAATTTTTAAAAGAAAGCAATGGTGTTTTATGCAGTCATTTTTCAAGTTGCATTTTTTTGTGGAGTTTTGCAGTCAGGGTCTTTCTCTCTATTTCCGACAGCTCTGTAACTGAGGCTGGCCTCCAACTGAAGGCAGTTCTCCTGCATCAGCCTCCCAAGATATATTTCTTCTTTCTGAGCGAAAGGGGATCACTTGGTGACACTGAGCTATAATTTGCTATGTGTGCCTTGTTTCAATGTTTATACATTGTTTACATACAGTTTTCCATTTTCATTTGAGTTATTATTTATGTACCATATTTGTTGTTATTTATGTTTTGTTGTGTGAAAATAAATTCAAATTTATTTGAATGCTGCTTAAGTATATTAAGAACAAAGGACTTAGTGGCCTAAATGAGATTTGAAAAGATATCATCTGTAATTTATCCAAGTGATTCATGTGATATTTGTCTACCCCTTTGCTTTGTGGATGCTGGTCCTACAGGCTCCCACTGTGAGCTCTGCTTTAGAGACAGTGCACAGGGATACTTCCGGTGACTCAGCACAAAAAGCACTGCTCCCATTTGGCTGTGAGCTGCAATTTATCATCCAAATTGCTTTTTCAAAAAATGTATCTATACATAAAATTAATCACCAAGACATGGAATTAAGCTTTGAAGAATTCAGTCTCCATTCAGCTGTGATGTTTTGTTCTACGTTGTTTAGTTTAGTTTTGTTTTATTGAGACAGGCTTTCACTATGTATATCACTATGGTGCCTACAATTTTGTTGACTTCATAAAAGCCCTCCTCTCTCAGCCTTTTGAGGGCTGGGATAGTAGATATGCACCAACTCTGCTTTTGATTCAGATTTTTATGAGCAAATTTAAGATATCCCAGGCCATGAGTCCCAACCTTCCTTTGAGAAATATATGTATGAATCTTTAGGATCATACTTTTATCACTTGGCCACTCAGCACTTATCCCCTAACATCACTTGGGAAGCACATTTGTTTATGCACTGACTATGCTGAGCATCATTGGGGAAGTTGTCATTTTAACCAGTTGATTCTTATATTGAATACATTACAATAGTCACTTTTACATTTCTTGTTACTTGATAAAAACTAACAAAAAGTATGCAATTATTGATTATCTTTTACTTAAATAATTGCACTAGTAAGGACTTACATATAAAGCCCTAGGCTAAGTGTGATTCCTTTATTCCCACCATCAGTAGAGGATGAGATTAGATGATCAGGGCTTTGAAGCTGACTTTGGGAGGCAATTTTGCTATATGATCTAGCAGTGTGTGGCAGTTTTTTTTATACCTGCATTTGATGTTTAAGGAAACAGGTAAGTTTAGGTCAAGAATATAAATGTAGGATGGGAATACTGAAGCAAAATGCAAATCATGATTTTTTGGCTCAGGAAATGTGCTTTTTATGGTAATTTGTGCAGCAGTATTTAATATACTTGTATTAGAGTAAAGCATAGCGAAACATAAATGAGCCAGACATTCTCTGTTCTGAAAGTAGAGGCATTAACAAAACTTTTTTACTCAATGCTATTGCTGGTGCTTTTTGTAGAAAATAAGATAGGGCAACAAAACAAGCAAAAAGGATTATATAAAATTTTAATACTTATGCACAAATGTAGAAGCCAAAAAACAAAACAAAACAAAACAAAAAAAAAAAACAAATCAAATTTTAAAAGGATGAAGAAATAATCTACAGGATAGGAGAAGATTGCATGTTACTCCCTGACAGCTAACATGTAAATCCCATAGAAATGTGAAATGAATACACACTTTTAAGAACAGGTACAAATTGTCAAGAAATACCTGAAGAACTATTGAGCATTTATGCACAATAGAGAAATGCAAATCAATATACCATCTCATTGCAGAGACAAATCACCACAAGATCAAATGAATACTCATAAGACGGCAGGAGAAAACAAACTATTTAACTTTGTTGGTGGAAATGTAAACAAGTACTTCAGCCACTACTGAAGTCAGTGTTCAAAGTATTCAAATGATTAAACATAGTAAGTCCACTAAGTGCAGTGCTTCCTTTAGTGGGTCTCATACTCAAAGATCTAAGGACCCATTGCAGTGATTCATGCATATTCCTGTTTACTGCAGCAATAGTCACTTTTCTGTGGAGAGCAGCAAGCACTGCTACATCACTACCAAATGCCAATGATGAACAACAAATACCCATCAGTGTACTCTGTTTAGTAAATGATATGATATTATTTTGAAATAGGCTCTAAATTAGCTTTTCATAGTGTGATAAGCATGACATAAGCATGATAATCATGCTAATGTAACAAGGCCCTCACTATTGCACTATGTTTATTAGATTGAACTGTTTTTCTTTTGGAGGCAACATCTTGCTATGAAGTTCAGGTTGGCTTTAAGATCAATTTATACCCCAGAGGGTTCTCAAACAATTCACCTGCCTCAGCCTCTCAAGTACATGGCTTACACACACATGCCATCAGGCCCAGTTTAGATTTGGTATGTTAAATGTATATTCAGTATTTTTTCAACTGTTTTGGTTGTTAAAGTGTTTCCACTTTTTACCTCCAGCATCTATAACCACTGTGACCTTATTGAGGTGGTAATGTACATACCACCAGCCTCATGACATTCACTCCTGTGTTCAGTGCTGTCAGTGTACTGCAGTGAGACTTATGTGTACAAATGTATATAACTGCTTGTTTTTTCTACTTTCCTTCAAAAAGATTTTAAAATTACCTGATACAATCAATGACCTTGTCTACAGTTTGATGCAAATGCCAACAGTTAAGAAGAGTGTAGCACAAACACACACACACACACACACACACACACACAGGAAAGAGACCACATAGTTCCCATGAGAGGTTTGTCAAGGAACATGAGAAGAAAACTCTCTGGAGGTATGTGTTACTGATTATTACAGTTGAATTCACCTCAGGTTTTCTCACTGTTGTTTATGTGAGGTAGACCAGATGACTATTTTAAGATATGGAGTTACATAATGTCCTTTTTTTTGTACAGAGGATCAAACTCATGACCCTGACCTTGCTAAGCAGATGCTTATGCCACTGAGATCAATCCTCAGCACCCAATAAAGTCTGTTTTGAAATTTAAGTGTCTAAAGATCTGCTTTGGTGGTGTGGCCCACTTAGTAATGTCAACTTGGATCACCCAGTGAACTGAGGTACCGTGGCTTTGGACATAGAGCATCCATTGAAAGGTTGTTGCAAACACTGTCAAAGGAGAAATGGAGGGGAACATGCTGGGCTGTTGATACTCATGGAGAAGCTGGTATTACAGTTTTCCAGATATGAAC